GATTGTCCTGACCCAGGTGCAGGACCCTGCCATTGTCCTTGTTGAACCCCATGAGGTTCACCTGGCCCAGAGCACTTATATTTGTCCCAGAACAGTTGTATTTTGGCCCAGAGCAGTTATTCTCTGCCCTATGCCAGATATACATGAGGGTTGAGCAGCTCATCTCCTTCTCCATCACTGAGTCTGGGTCAGGACCCCCTGCAGCATGGAGAACCCCACATCATAAACCACTCAGCACATCCCTTGGTGCCCCAAAGAGGCTGTGGGCACATAGTTCACCAGTTATCAGTGGTAATTAAGTGGATGAAAAGTAAACCCACTGGTTTAGAGCTGTAGACAGCGTCTCCAAGAAGCCAGCATCTATCCAAGGTCCAGCAAGGGGAGCACGCAATGGTTCCCAAGCTGGAAAGCCACCCCCTAACCTCACCCTCGCACTAACTCCCAATCCAGGCCATGCCTTTTCTCACCAGTGTGTTTTCCCCCATATAAAAAGGGAATAAATGAAGATCAATATTCCCCCACGTTAAATTTCATACAGATGAGCTAGAGCTGAAGTCTGCCATGGAGCAAACAGCACCATCAACCTCTGTCTCGGGGGGCTTGACTGGGTTGCAGAAGGCAGGGTTGCTATGAGGCTCCTGCACGCAGACCCAGTTGGTCCCCACCTGCATTTTCCATGTATAACTCTTATAAATTATAAAATCAACTCACAGATGTTGACGTTGCCAACTCCATCACCAGCCAACCTGTTGGAGAAGACAAACACAAAGGCAAAAAGGGAAGAGGACGGGTTAGAGTCTGCATTACTCAGTGTTCCCCCAGGGCCTCGGCTGAAGACAATGGCAGGGAGCTATTAGTGCTGTTGTAAATAATTCAGACAAGATAAGTGTGCCATCCAGCGCTTTGTTCTGGCCCTACATTTACAAGCTCTGTTATCACCTGGGGGTTGTTGAAAGAGCACAGAAGCTCTGTCCTAATCCCAGGGGGATTTGGGCCACTTGGAAATGTTCTGCCACAGTATCAAACATACAATGGAAAACAATTTTTTCTTCTTTGCTTATTTTTACCCAAAAGATCAAGTTTTCCCCAGAACCTGCCCGTTTAGCTCTTCAGCCAAAGCATTTTCAGGACCAAAAATCAGTTTCACATGCAAGGCTTTCTCTTCTGTATTTCCATGCAGAGATTGGAACTGAGCCCTCACGATGTCCCCAAGCAAAGGGCACCAAAGGGCTGGACCCTTCCTCACACAAAAACCACAGCACCCACCTGCACTCCTCTCCCTCCAGCAGCTTCCTGTAGGTCGCGATCTCGATGTCCAGCGCCAGTTTGACGTTCATCAGCTCCTGGTACTCGCGGAGCTGCCGGGCCATGTCCTGTTTCGCCTTCTGCATCGCCGCCTCCAGCTCCTCCAGCTTTGCCTTGGCGTCTTTGACGGCCAACTCCCCGCGCTCCTCGGCTTCTGCAATGCTCGCCTCCAGCTTGGCACGCTGCAAGGACAGAGCAGGGCACGTCAGTGGGCATCTCAGCTCCTTGTGCAGGAAAACACTGCCCACGGGCTAATGAACTCTACTGGCCAGACCACCTCTGTGTGTCTGCAGAGCCCTGGAGCCATCTGCACCCCTGTAAGTCCAAGCCTACACGGCTTTTTGGGCACTGGATGGAGATCAGCCTGCAAAGGACCCTCATCTCATCTCATCCCAAGATACGTTCTTCCAAGAGGCAGACCCTATTTCTCTCCGCTGGCTACATTTTCAGGAGACTTCATTTTCAGGTGATCCTCAGCCCACCCACGCCGCACACAACACTTGGGGTTAATGCAAGCTCAGGTTTTCTCTCCCATTTTGCCCCAGAGCTTGTTCAGAGCCAGTTGGTCTCCAGCAAGCTTTGATGTGAGGCAAGCGTGGACTCGAGCAGACCTGCAGCTAACAAACAACGCAGACCTACCCCAAAAGCACCCCTGTGGGGCCACCCTCACCTGCGCCCCCTGCACCTCCAAAAAAGCCCCATGTTTGGCAGGAAGGGCTCACAGTGAACACATGTGCTTTATGCTCTCATTCATTATTTAAGGGAGCTGCAGTGGGTCAGCTCTTTGCTTGCAAGTGTGTGTCGAAGCCTCCCTGCCCTGAAACCAAATAAACACAAACGGATGAATCACCGTGGCTTATCTCCAACTTTGCACACCTTGGTTATTCACAGCCAGCGCTCAGCCCCGAACATGGTCTGAACCACTCGCTGGTCTGGCTTTCACCAGCCGTTTGATAAAGCGATAACGGCCCCTGGAGAAAGCAAACAGAACTCCCATACGGCTGAGAAATGCTCTTATGTGCCCAAACATGGTGCTCCCTTCTGCAAAAAGGGGGTGGACCAGGATCCCAGAAGCAGGAGGGTACAAGGAATACGTGCGGCTGGCAGGGAGGCCACACACAGCTTTGCCCTTTAAAAATGGCTCTGCATCAGCCACTCCTGTGCTCCCAGGTTGCTGCTGGACGTGTTGTCACCCATAGTGCAGCGGCCTCTTGGCATTACACTGCCCACAACAGTTTCTCCCTCAAAACCAGCAGCTTTTGAGGTGAGCATCGCAGCCACCCCCAAACCCTCAGTTCAAGAAGGACAGGGAATTGCTTGAAAGAGTCCAGCGCAGAGCCACAAAGATGATGGAGGGAGTGGAGCATCTCCCTTCTGAGGAGCCGCTGAGGGAGCTGGGGCTCTTGAGCTTGGAGCAGAGGAGACCAGGGGTGCCCTCATCCATGTTATCAATGTGGGAAGGGCAGTGTCAGGAGGAAGGAGCCAGGCTCTGCTCTGGGATGTCCAGTGCCAGGACAAGGGGCAATGGTCCCAAGCTGGAGCACAGGAGGTTCATGTGAACATGAGGCCACACTTTGTCAGTGTGAGGGTCCAGAGCATGGCCCAGGCTGCCCAGAGAGGTTGTGGAGTCTCCTTCTCTGGAGACACCCAAAGCCCTGATGTGTTCCTGTGTGACTGCTCTGGTGATCCTGCTGTGGGGGGGTTGCACTGGGGGATCTTTCCAGATCCCTTCCAACCCCTAAGATTCTGTGATTCTGTGTGAAACCGCTCCTACAGATGTTACACCCAGACCCCTGGCACGCTCGTTGCTGCTAAAGCCGCTGCTCTGCAGCAGGAGAACACGAGCAGGTCCTCACCTGGGCTTTTGCATTCTCGATTTCACTCTGCAGCCTCTGGATCATGCGGTTGATCTCTGTGATCTCATTCTTGGTGTTGCGCAGGTCGTCCCCGTGTTTGCCAGCCGCGACCTGCAGTGCCTCATACTGTGACACAAAACAGCGTGAGAGAAAGGGATGGAGTCAGGCTGGCGGTCTGATAACTGCCTAAAATCTCTCCCACTCCTGACACACAGACCAACAGAAGCTGTAACTGCCTTTATCTCTCCCATAACTCACCTTGCTCTGGTACCAGGACTCAGCCTCAGCCCGGCTCCTGTTGGCGATGTCCTCGTACTGCGCTTTGACCTCTGCGATGATGCTGTCCAAGTCCAGGTTGCGGTTGTTGTCCATGGACAGCACCACGGAGGTGTCGGAGATCTGGGCCTGCAGCTCATTAAGTTCCTGGCAGATGCATTAGAAATAATACCATTAATCACTGGCTTTTAAGGGCCTCTCTTTTGGAAGCCGATTAAAGAAGAAAAGACAAAGAAAGGGAGGCAGATAAGAAGAATCCATTCCAAGCAATCATTAATTAAAAGGAAACTAAAGCACAACGTAACAACAGAAACCGAGCTACCTCTTATCACCCACATTTTGACAGCAAAGTTCTTTTACCCCGCTCCTGAGATAAGAACCCAGCATGAAATCTTTGAGCATCCCCTTCCCAACACCACGAGGCCCAAATTCCTTCATCTCAGCCAAAGGATGCAATGTCTCCAGTTCAATCAACCTCTTATCTTGCAAATAACGGGTAAGATAAAGGACTTTGGGAGCTTTCCTTTCTTTCTCTCACACTGCACACAAACACTGGCTAGAATACACCGGGTTTCCTTGTTTCCATACAGCATCAAAAAAATAATGCATGTCCTGGCTTGCAACAAATCCACCTCACATCCCAAATAGGGAGAAATTACTGTGGCAATTCACAGGACGTGCACTTTACTTGCAGGCTTATTTTTGGACATGTAAGGGAAGGTTCCATGTCTCCATCACCGTCCTCATTAAAACAGCCCATTAATTTCCCCAGTCCCCATTCCCTGTTCTTCACCCACTGGTGATGCTACACCGCAGCAGCCACAAGCAGCAGAAAGGTCCTTACCGCTTCATAGAGCGACCTCAGGAAGTTAATCTCATCTGTCAGCGCATCCACCTTGGCCTCCAGCTCCACTTTGTTCATGTAGGCGGCATCCACATCCTAAAAAAGAGGGATAATCCGCTGAGATTACCGTGGCTTTGTGACTAAATCCACCCAGCCACGAGCCCGTCAAGTTCCCCAAGCTGTCTGCTCTCTGTCTCTCTGTCATGACCCACCAAGTCCTAAATATTGCTGGTGTGCAGGATCCCCTGTGTTCTGTAGGGTCCCTTGGACCTGTGTTTGCAGGTCAGGGGAGGCCTTGGAAAATGTCCTGGAATAAGATACAGCCATGATATAGATGGCTAAAAGATACAGCCAAGAAATACACTTTCTTCTTCACCTCTGGGCATGGATGGAGCAATGAGAGCGTAGGGGGAAACGGGGGAGAAGGGCTGCAAGCATCTACGAGCAGTCCCTGCTAACGTCCAGGGCACGCACCTTCTTGAGCACCACAAACTCATTTTCCGCTGTCGTGCGCTTGTTGATCTCGTCTTCGTATCTACCAGAAAAAAAGAGATTGGTGTGAAGTTAGAGCCTGGGTCAAAGGAAAAACCTATCAGAGTGAAGAGTTACCCCATTCTCTTCTCTCTCCCTCCTTTCCCTCTTTGTGAGCCACCTCAGCAAAGCTTCCCCAAGCACGGCAGCCACAGGCAGAGGCTCGCTGTGTATTTTATTGCACAAGAGGTACCAGCTCCAGGGGTTCCCTTCCTGCCTGGACAAGCTGATGTCTGAAAGCTCTTCTGGTCCACAACACCATGACTGTTAACCTGGACAGCATTTCTCACCCACGCTTCCCCATATTTCTTAAAATTCACTGCATTTAAGAAGATTCCTGCTCTTTATTCTCGCTCAGGGATGGCTGCAGGATTGCAGTCGATGTCCTGGGGCTCTTGCCCCTCGAGAGAGCAAACACAAACACAGAAGAGATGCGAGGAGATTCAATAAATTCCTCTACGCTGATCAAAGCACTCACTAATGCCACTTTCTCTGTGCATTTCCTTGTTCCAGACTCTGAGAACATTTTTCAGGTGTCAATCACACACCACTGTCCCGGTAAGAGCCAAGATTAATTATCCTCATTCTGAACATTAATTCTTCTCACTCTGCACAGAGTGGCTTTGTTCCAAAGCCCCACTGACTCCTAATATTGGCTACGTCCCTTCTTTAGGTGTTCACCTTCGGGTGTAATGAGCTAAATCCTCAGCAGATCAAAATCAGGCTCCATCGACCTTACGGGAGGGTCACTTGTTTTACCCCTTGCAAACCTGCATCTCAGAGCCTGCCTTGCATCAATTTGTGCACCTGCTGCAAAGCACAGCAAGAATCTGCTGGATGGATCCTGAACAACACCCAAGGAGCAGAGCAGGAACCACTTTTTCAGGCTGTTTCGGCTTTGCTGTTGCCAAAGTGCGAACACTGCTCTCTTTATTGACGCAGTCCCTGCATGGCTAACGCTGTAATTTGCCTTCCAAAGCGTGAGCTGCTTCGCTTCCAACGGCCTCCAGGTGCCTCCCCTTCTGCTCCGAGCTGGAAGCTTGCCCATCCACACCAGCATAAACAGACCTTGTCCCTTCTGAGGCCAATGAGCTGCATCTGCTGCTATCGCGGTGTAATATACGACCTGGAAATTAGGTCAGCGTGCTGCGTACACACAGCCTGCGGCACAGGACGGGTAATCAGCAAAAAGACCAAATTATTCCAGAAATGTTTGTCAAATTCCTCACAAATTCACTTGGTTGGAAAAGATCTTTAAGATCAGAGTCCAACGATAAGCTGTCCATTGCTAATTATGCCTCTAAGCACCTTTTTTCCCAGGCAAAGCTCCACCAAACTGGTCAATGAACTGAGAAATCATTCGAAGTTCTCCATTGAAGCCCCGTGCACGGTCACACCTTGGCACGGCCCTCACCGAGCCACGTGGACACGCAAACACGGCTGGCTCCTGCCCTTGCTTACTTTGCACCACACCCTTAGTCAATGCAGTCGCTGAATGAGAGACTGAATCTCATCCCCTGGAGCCTCGTGCACGTAAATCTCCTCCCCTGCTCCAGATGTAACTGAGAATTACTGTGAAAATTGAGCATATGAAAAAGAGGCGACAGACACATAAAGAGCCAGTCACGGTTTAGGTATTCTACTTAGAAAATGAGGGGTATTTTTCATATAAATGGGGAGCAGCAGGTTCTGAACTCAAGTTACTACATCCTTACTCCCTCTGCTGCATCTTAGGCTCCTAATTCCTGCTTCCTTTCTCTTAACACCTACAGGGTTTGGTTTCACACGGACCTGTAATAAATAAATATGCATCTGTGGACCTTGCCTTCATGTGGCACACAACCAAAATCAGGGCTATAAATCCTCTGGGTGCAAACCAGCTCCTCACAGAGCTGCAAAGTACAACTGTGGATGAGCACGAAGTAGAAATAACTCCACAGGGTTGGGGGAAACATCATTCCCATGCTCCTTCTTGGGAATCACTGGCTATCGACTTTCCCCAAACACACCCTGGGGATTATCAGATCAGTTTGTTTCCAGTTCCTGCTCCATCCAGTTTGCCCGCTCCCTCTTTTCTTTCTTTCCTTTTTTAATTAAAGGCATTCCCCGGTACAGCTGGGTTGGGCCCAGGCTGGGACAAAGGCTACTTTCTTCATGGGACTCCTCCCACAATTGGGACTGAAAAGTCACTTCAAAATTGCAGCTCGCCTGCTCCATTACCTGCCCACAAAATAAGCAGCAGCTCATCCACTGCTGGCTATGGGCTCCCAAGGGGTTCCTATGGACCCGAGCTCCCATGGGGTTCCTATGGACCTGAGGAGGCACATCCAACCCAAAGCACGAAGCCATCCCCAAGGAGGCCCCAGAGCAAAGCCAAGGGGATGGAGCCACTGAAGGCCACGTGAAAACAAGGTGCTAGGAATAAGAAGCAACCCAGGCAGGAATCAAGGGAAATTCCCTGGGCTTGACGCCTAACCCATGGCTGGAAAAGCTGGGGACATCTCTGCCCATCTACTGACCAAGCTGGCAGCTCAACTACACCGTTAGATGGGAAGATTATACATTACTTGGTCTTGAAATCCTCAACAAGATCCTGCATGTTCTTCAGCTCGCCCTCCAAACGCCCTTTGTCATTCAACAGCCCATCCAGCTGACGCCGCAGGTTGTTGATGTACGCCTCAAACATGGGGGCGATGTTACTCCGGGCGGTTTTCTGGTCCTGGAGAAGGCTCCATTTGGTCTCCAGCATTTTGTTTTGCTGCTCCAGGAACCGGACCTGGAAAGGAACCAAGGGGTCATTGGTGAAAGTGGGAGGAAGGGGGAGCTGACACTACAGGATTTGGATCCCCGGAGAATGATGGGCTGTGATTTTATCTGAAGAATTTTCCTTGCTTATAGGAAGCACCCGAACTCTGGAGGGTGATAAAGACCAGGAGGGAGATTTGCTGCTCTGATCTTATGAATTTATGGCTGTGTATGAATTAAAGATAAGCAGGTTCTGCTTGTCTGACCCTTGACAGAAGCCCCGCGCTCAAACTCCAGGTCTGGATTCCTCGCATTGTGAGGATGCCAGAGCTGCAGTTTACACAGGATCAATCGGTGCAAAGCCACAGAGGGAGAGGGCAGTGCAAAAAAACACAGCAGACTCCGACTTTCACAAAGATCTGTTCTGCTGAGATGATTCCTCCCCAAAAAGCCCCCTCCTCCCTGATTTTGTTGTTGCTGGTGGTGTGCTTGGGTGCAGATTTGCTCCTTAAAGCCTGCACCCACATTATGGGCAATACCAGCTAAATAAAGAGGGTGCAAAGCTGGCCTAAGCAGGGCAAAACCCTTTACCGACAGCAACACTAGCAGGGCTTTAAGTTATTGCACTGCAGTAGGCAAATCACACCATGCTCCTGAGGACTGGGCCCATTTGTGAACCCCCCCCTTAAAATGTGGTCAAGCTTTGGGTCAGACCTGCTTTTTAAGCAGCATCCACAGAGCCACCAGCCTCTCCAACACCTCACCTTGTCGATGAAGGAGGCGAATCTGTTGTTGAGCGTCTTGATCTGCTCCTTCTCCTCCTTGCGCACCCGCTGGATGTTGGGGTCGATCTCCAGGTTCAGGGGTGTCAGGAGGCTCTGGTTGATGGTGACCTCCTGGATGCCCGCGGGGCCCAGCGCCCCACCGAGCCCCATGCCCCCGTAGCCGTATCCAGAGCGAACGCTGTAGGAGCTGCCGCCTCCAACGGAGATCCGCTTGTTGGCAGAGCCCAGGCTGTAGAGGCTGGAGCTGCCAAAGCCCCCTGCCCTGCCTAAGCCCCCTCCTAGTCCACGGGTCGAGGAGACGGTGCTGACACGCACTTGGCTGATCCCTGGGACGGCCGCAGAGCGAGAGCTGAAGCTGACAGAGCGGGACATGGCTGCTCCGAGGGCGTTTTCAGTATCCTACACCCTTGGAAAGAGGAGGGGAGCTGTGCTGGAGAGCAGGGCAGTGAGCGGGTTCTCCTGCCTGCTTCTCCTTTTATCCGTTAGAAAAGCTGGGCTTGGCCCAAGGGCAAAAGAGGGATCATTTTACTGCCTGGAGAGCTGGGTGTGCCTGGCTGCCTTCCCACCCTCCCTCGACCTGCTGAATTGGAGCAGGCCAGGAGGGAAGGGCCAGGAGGGAAGGGACAGGACACACCTGGCGCCGCATCCCCGGCCTCTCCTGGGCTCCACGGCAGAGCTGTACCAGGCCAGGCACGGTCCCCACTTCCCAAAGGCTTTTCCATTCCTCCTCGCTTGCCTAAGCAGGTGATGAAAGGAAAATATGCATTGATTTTTTACTTTATTACAGCACAGGTGGCTCCCCCTGTGCCACAGCAGAGATAAGGGGCCACAGCTGAGCGTCAGGTCCTGCCAGGTTTAATGTAAACCAAAGCCAGCTGCAGCCTTGGACACACACACAGGACCCAGCTGGTCTGTGCCATGCAGGGGAACACAGCGATCCCTGGACACCGGGGTTTTGCCACCTCTCTCCTGTTAGTGTTAAAATAAAGGTGGTTTAGGTGGAAAATACCTGTGCATGGAAACACCCAGCGTGCCAGTCCACACTCAAAGGGAGCCAGGACAAGTTTCTGCTTAAATTCCTGTGTTTCTATGCGGAAGAGGCAAAGACAAATATTAGTTTTATAGGGTTTCTGCACTTTCAAATAGCCTCGCAGGGACAGGTCTCTTCACTATCAGGTCATAAATCCTCCCTGAGATTTCAAAGTCTGGCCTGAATGTGTCACCCTTCAGCTCTTCCCCTCTCATCGGGACAGTGAGATAATGCTGCTTACATGTTCTGGCCACGGCCTATTCAAAATATGCACTTCCTTCTTTGCGGGAAGAACAAAAGTTGGCTGGAGAGCCCAGCTACTAAAAGGAAATTCTCATTTGGAAGGAGGGAAAGGGGGAGATTGAGCCAGGCAGAGACATAGGAGGCAAGGTTCCTCCCTGCTCTGCAAGCTGGCTCGGCTTTCACCAGCAAATACAATAAAATCCATTGAATATAAAGCATGCACACCCGTACTTGACCCTGTGGCTGCTGTGGACAGGCCAGGGTTGATTTAATCTGCACAGGGCAGAACCTTGCAGCTGCTTTACACAGCACCAGGTCCTGGCGAGTTCGCAAAGCTCTGCCACAGCTCCGCAATATCTTCAGGCAGAAATTGAACCCGAAAGCGCGATCGAGTCCTGGCACCAGGCAAGAATAACCCCACCAAAACAAGCCCTGGATTTTATCAGGTTGCAGATTCCTTTGTAGCAGCAGCCGAGGGTTTTTTGCACAACCCCGAACAGAAAGCAATCCAATGGCAGAGAGCAATGCAGCCAGGTAAAGCACGACCTGCTGTCAGACAAACCATCGTAAAGGCAACGCTGCTGTCGGCAGAACCACCAGTTCAGCACTACGAGAACTGAACTTCACCCTGGTTTGCGCTATCAGATCCATGAAAAGCCATTTTCTAATCTTAATTACCGTCGTGCGGCACCGCTGATTTTAGGTAAGGATGAGTCTGTCTACCATTCAAAGTCCAAGCTTGCTTTTCTGTCCCATTAGCAACCCGGGAAAGCCTCATTTACCTCATTGCTCTGTGCTCTGGTGCTGCAGGAAGCCAGTTTAGATCCCCTGCACTTCTTACAACCCATCCTGCAATGGGAATATTCTCCGTTTCAATCCGGTTTCAAGTCGGGTTAGGTCAGAGCCGGACCCAGAGATGTCAGGAGCAGAGTTTGCTTGTGTTGTTGGGATGCCATGGTAACACCGCATAGTTTCACAACCGCACTGACCGGTAAATACTTCCAAGCCCTTGCGAATGACCCCCAGGGATTCAGGTTTGGTGAGGCAGAGGACGCTGTAGTGCCCAGTGAAACACCCCCTGGGGAAATGTGAAGTGAAGTGACCCCTAAAACACCCAGAAGCAGCCCACTCTTCTGCACTGATGCTCAGAAAGCCATTAAAAGAGCCACAAATCACAAATATCTCCATAAACCCTTGAGAAAATGAACCAAACTCTCAATTCTAGCCCAGAAAAGGGGGAAAAAAACCCAAATATGGTCACGGAAGAGGAAAAAAATCTTTGCAGAAGAGTAAAATTGTGTGTTCTAAACATGTGGTTATGCTGATCCACACCTGTTTCCACATCTTCTGCCGATATCCCGTGGGCTATCTCTTGCTGTATGTTTAGATTGCAATGTTTGGCCTGAAAGCTTTATGGAGCAGGGAGTGCCCTTCAGTTCTGTGTTTGCACAGCGCAGTCCTGGTTTGTGATTACTGCTCCAAAGTGCTTCGGCAGTGAGTCATTAATTAATTAGTGTCCTAACGACACGCCGTGTTTTGGTGGTCTCACGGCTGGGGGACTGCAAGGGCACGATGGGGCGCTCAGGGGTTGTCAGAACAACACTATCAAGATATTATTATATTATTCTTGCTAACAACACCCAAAAGCAAAGCCAACGCAGCAGCACTTGCAGCCATAAAACCTCTGCGCTGAGGATTCCCCCCACGCTGCAATCACAGCTTCCCCTTTCAGCATCTCTGTAGCCTCATTAATAAAAATTCTTTATCAATCATCATCAATTATCCCTGCGAATACAGAGATTGCTCCAGAGGGAACCTGCTCTCCTACAGTCCCAAACGTCTGTCAACAACCTGATGCACAACCGAGCCACATTAGGATGTGGTGGCCGTCTATCATGAGGTTTTATTCATTTGTTTAGTCCTACTTCCAGTGTTGCTTGGGCTATAAAGCTCAGTATAATGACGCAGCTCTGCAGCCTAGTATCTCAATGACAGGAAAGAGGCTTTTCCAGAAAGGCGATGGCTGGCTGAGTCGAGGGATTCATTTGTTCCAAAGGTTGGTACCTGGCACAGTTCATTGCCTTGCAACAGGAACCATCCCTGCTATAACTCGGGGCCTTAGGTCTAATTTGGAGTTCTTTAACTGGTGTCTTTAGTTTTCAGGCACTACTCACTTCCCGAGCACTTCAACAGCTCTCTTGAACCTGCTGTGATTCCCTTATTAATGTTAAGTCACCACTCTCGTGGTCTTACATTGGATAAACTGAGCGGGCTGAAACCCTCACATCTTTCATTAAACAAGTGGCTTTTCTGAGGACTTGAAATCACTTCTGTGGCCTCTCTCTGCTCCAGCGCCCTTGGCACGTGCATCGGCATTGTTCAAGCTGCAACTACATGTAGTTTCATACGTGGAAACTGCATTTTTCTTCCCTATGAGGAAGGTGAGGCCCTGGCCCAGGTTGCCCAGAGAAGCTGTGGGTGCCCCCTCCCTGGCAGTGCCCAAGGCCAGGTTGGACGGGGCCTGGAGCAGCCTGGGCTGGTGGAGGTGTCCCCCCATGGGGGGTTGGACTGGGGGGGCTTTGAGGTCCTTTCCAACCCAAATTATTCTAGAATTCTATGATTTTGCTCTCCACTCTCACAACCCTGCAGCCTCAGTACTAAAGGGGGCATGGTGGGACCAGCAGGAATAGCTGGAGGGAGCTTGCCCGGGGTGACAGAGCCAGCTCTGTGTTAACAACAAGGTTTCCAGCAAGGTTTCTCACCTTTCCTCCTCCTCTGCTTGCTTCGCTGAGGCTGGGGATCCCTCAGCTCAGTTCCTTGCTATGAAACTCCTCCTCCAGCTCAGCATTGGCTATGCTCGTCCTGTCAGCCGAAACCCAAAAAAGACCATGGGGTGAGCATGAAAGCAGCCAGGCAGAAAAGGACCTGGGGTAGATGAGAAGGGGTGGTTGTAGGGCAGAGAGGTTCTCCTGCCCCTCTGCTCTGCCCTGCTCAGACCCCAGCTGCAATCTTGTGTGAGCTCTGGGCCCTCAGTGCAAGAAGGACAGGAACTGCTTGAAAGAGTCCAGCAGGGCCACAAAGTGATGGAGGGAGTGGAGCATCTCCTGCTGAGGAGTGGCTGAGGGAGCTGGGGCTCTTGAGCTTGGAGCAGAGGAGACCAGGGGAGCCCACATCCCACTCATCCATGTGATCAATGTGGAAAGGGCAGTGTCAGGAGGAAGGAGCCAGGCTCTGCTCTGGGATGGCCAATGCCAGGACAAGGGGCAATGGTCCCAAGCTGGAGCACAGGAGGTTCATGTGAACATGAGGCCAAACTTTGTCAGTGTGAGGGTGCAGAGCATGGCCCAGGCTGCCCAGAGAGGTTGTGGAGTCTCCTTGTGTGGAGACACCCAAAGCCCTGGCCGTGTTCCTGTGTGACTGCTCTGGTGATCCTGCTCTGGGGGGGTTGGACTGGGGGAGCTTGCGAGGTCCCTTCCAACTCCTGATATTCTTGGATTCTGTGTGAGCACAGCCCCCAGGGTGTTCACATCACAGCACAAAACCACTCGCCAGCATCTCCAGGAGCAATCTGGACCCCCAAGGCGTTGCTGCCGCTGGAGGTTTCCCCCCTCCAGCATCTTCCAGCTGCTCGGCACCACGATGCAGCCGCTGTCCTGTTTGCAGAAGGAGCAGTGACACCAGCAGCAATGGGAACCTCTGTGCGTTGCCATGAGCTCCTGGACAAATAAGCAAACCCAACCCACGCAGATGGGCTGCAGGGATCTTTCCCAGGAACACAGCGGGGCATCGGATCATCAGAAAAGCTCTCTGTGCCTGACACATGGCGGAAGCATCCAAACTATGGACTTTCCCCCCCTCCAGCCTGTTTTACATGCACCTAAAGCTGGTTTTTTTCCCCTCTCTCCCAAATTACAACAGCTTAAGATGACAAGAAATCATGAAGGAATAACTATAAATATAGTTATAATTACGTATAATCATAATTACGAGGGTAATTTTTACATGAAAGTTGAGAGTCACTCCCACAGCTGATGCCTTAAGCAAAAACAAACAAACAAACAAATTAAAACACTACAGTTCTCAGAGCAGAGGTGAAATTGTGAGTCCTGGTAATGCTGGGCTCAGATTTTGCTGGAAATGGCGAATGGAAATGAATGGAAAAATCCA